TATATATATATATATATATATACACATATAGTGGGTCTTTGCTGGACAGATCAGGTCTAAGCCCCCTGGTGAAGTAGAAGTCAGGCTACTTTACATTTCTCAACAGCATTACTGGAATATGGGAGGTATGAAGCATTATGCTCGATATTAAAGGAAAATTAATCCAACCTAAAATTTCTACCAGACTTTTAATCAACTTTAATCATAGCATGGAGACAATTTCTTAAACAGAAGCCACCTAAACTCTATTTTGCTTCCAATAGAGAAAGATGAGCCACAGATTCCTGAGCTCTGAGATCTAGGGTAGGAAGTGGGAGGATTCTTCCCATCTCTGTGCTGGAGCCTCAAAGAACCACTTCTGGCTTCTAAGCCTAGACAGCAGTGTTCACAGGCTGTGAGACAGGACCCTCAACTGTAATTTACTACAGTGAAAGGATATGAAGCGAAACCAGCACAGGAAAGGCAAAGAAGAGCAGTCCCCATGATACCAGGCCCTACCCCACACCTCTGCACTGAAGCTGTTCAGGAAACTCGCTGAAAACTCAGTGCTCAGGTTTTCCCTGGGGTCTGGTGTACAGGCGCCTCTGCCTGTCATGCAGTTACACCCTGTTGTTTGCATCAATAGTTTGGGCCTGCTTAGCCACTCCTATCAGTCTGGAGATAGGGGAAATGATTTGAAATTCAAATTTCCTGAAGTCAGCCAAGAGCCAACCTTCCAAGCAGGCCTTTCTAAGGACCACATTCGGAGCCAGCAGCTGTTGAGTTTTTCTGTACAGTTCCTCTCTCTGACTCTTGGATATGTTTCCAACCCCATTTAAAAAAAATACAATCTGAATCTTCCTCTCTCTTTTTTGTTTCATAGGTTTAAGCCCTGAAAAAACAATCCCTTCGATACTGAATTCTCGATTAGTGAGAAAATGTGGTCCTGCATGTGTGTCCACGACGCCAGCTTGACCTGGGTGCCTAGTACCCTCTATTCCGTCACTGCTCTGGTGACTCCAAGCAGGGTTCTTTACTCTCCATCCAGCCTTTAAATTTTTACGTTGGGCAGCACTCAGAAGCTTTTTATGTTTGTGATATCATAGGCTCTTAAAAGAAAATGCGTAAAGCAGTCATGGCGGCTGGCTGCTCACATTGAATGCCTCTAGCGCTCCCCCTGGCTCATGACAGCTCCATGCCACGCACACTGGAGAGATAGATGACTTCAGCCTTCTTTGTGGACAGGGTTCTTTATTACTGTAGCTTTTGGATGCTGCTTTTTAAATTAAAAAGTAGTCCTTGACTAGATGCGGAAGCCCACGAGAAGGATGACATAAACCCCTGCCTGTGCCCACGTGAGGGGTGCTGTCCAGACTGGAGTGAAAGCAGCAGAGCCCGTGCCACTTGCCCTCGTGATTCTGTGCCAGGTTGGCTGGGCAAGGTCCAGGAGCCCTCTGCTGGCAGGGGCTCGAGACACATGCAGTTTACGGATCTAGGTATAAAATGAGGATGTTGTACAAATTAACAAGTCTGATATCTCCTATGAAATAGTATGATAATTATAATGCTAATAAACAGGGAGACTACCCCCAGTCAAACCTACCTTCCTCCACCAGAAATTTCCTCTTTTCTACGGAGGTGAAGTTTATTTAGTTCTTGAAATCTCTCAGTGGTAAATGTATTTGAAAGCCAGTTCCAGTGACTGGATTGGCATCTATGATGGCCCCAGAAGGACAGGTTGTCACATGTCCCAGGGGTGGACAGTACATGCTGAGGAGGATTGGTGCAAGCTCACTAGATCTAAGATTCTAATAACTGAACCTGTTCTTGAGTTTTAATTTTAATTTCCTCAGAGCACAAAGTTTAACATGAAACTCGGGCTTCTTTTAACTGCTCTGGATGGTTCGATTGTGATACACTTGCTTGAAGTATCAGATTATGAAAGGTTGAGGGATGGTAAGGCCAATCTGTTTTAA